CTCTCAATTCATCTCTTAAAAGGGGCCTGACTGGACCAAGGTGGTGGGCCTGGAGGCTTACTGTACCAAGGCAGTGCTGTGCCCAGTGATCATGCAAGAGCCAGGCTACGTTATCTTCAACAGCTGCGGGTGCCGCTGTCTCAGCTATCAAAGGTATTTGCTGCCAACAGCATTGTCTCCAGGTTATTCGCAGCCTAGCCAAGCCTGGGATCTGCAGAAGACTGATGTTATCATATCAATCCACAAAGATCTGGAAGACAAACCTGTTGCAATTGTCTGGGGAGTTCATGAACAATCAACAGGTAAAGGAGCAAAAATCCGTGCTACCCTGGGTTATGGGTGGTACTTGCAGGTGCCAGTGGGGCTGCATAATGAGCCATGACTTCCCCATCCAAGAGCCCAGTTTTGAAGCAAGAGCACTCCAGAAGCCGACTTGGCTGGGCATTGGGGATGTTGAGACGCTTGCCCTCCACGGAAGTATCATCAGGAGAAAGTCACTGCATCCTGGCCTCCTGGTTACTTGCTCTCTACACAGATAATAGGGGCAAGGCCCTGCCTGTGGAGCCCAGGACCTCCTGTGCTATAAATGAGTCTTTGCCAGATGTGGGTGTTCCCTTCCTGGGAGCTCAAGGCGTTCAGGTGGGTTCTGCGTTTTCCATTGGCAGGATCTGGTTGATGTTTTCCATTTGGGTGCAGGACAGGCCGAGGCAATCCCCCGCCAGCCTTGCGCAGTCTCCTGCCATTGGAGTCACAATGTCTCTTGGAATGCTTCCTAGAGTTCCATTTAGTCACTCAAATTTAATACTTACAGCAGATGTGCATTTTTGTAGCCAATAGGTTTGTGTTTTTTTCTTTTGAATCTCACAGTAGAAGAAAAACTCATAAAAAGCAAGGAGATCACTATGGATATGCTATTTAAATAGTGATTCATTAAACAGAAAATTAACAACTTGAAGTCTTTCAGCCTTATTCGGGATGTATTTCAGTGTTTGACACAGTGGAAATCAGACTCGGTCCAGTTTCATATTTCCCTTTTCATTTGGCTTTATACCTTCATTTTGTTCTTCAGGTTTTGTATGCTCTTCCACAGCATTTGTATCAACTTCCTCTTGTGATTAAGCCTTGTGGGGGCTACTTGGCATTCACAGTGTCTTTGGCCATCCTTCCTAACATCTCAAGCCCAAGTGATACAAATGAAACAGGTGCACCTGCTAGCCTAGTATCCTTTCACTCTCCCCTCAGCATGCAGAACATCACTTGGCTTTTTGATAATTGTGGCATGCTGCAGTGACACATCTCTCTGGGCAGGGCAGAGCAGTGTAGACAAAGAAAGTGGCAGCCCAGGGAGTTGGAGGTGTGTACTTATCCATTTTCCAAAGAATTGTTTATTCATATCCTGTTTATTGAGTAATAAGGAAATGAATATTTATCTTGCTGATTTATACACCTTCTTTGTAATGAGAGATGGATCAATACCCTATTGGGAGTTTGAAATCTATTAAGCATTTCTGCTGGAAGTCTCAGATGCTCATGTGCTCAGACAGTTTGCTTTGAGTTTGTTTATACTTATTGGAAGGGGAAGTGCATTTATAGTTAATAAGATCTGTCAAGAGGATAATTGCAGGAGAAAATAAAAAAACTTTTTGCAATATGGTGATATACCCAACGGACAGCAGAGAAAGGGCGCTACAGTGTAAGCTTGGTGAGCAAGTAGAAATCCTAGATTAGAATGAAAATAGGATTCAAGGTCAATTCCAGTACACCTTGTAAATTCATACAAGTTCAGGATTCCCTTAAGTTAAAATTAATAACACAAAGGTTGGTGCAGCAGTTAAGACTCTGCTCCTAATTGCAGATTCCCACCATTGTGCAGCCCCAGGAGGCAGCAGGTGATGGCTCAGGTCACTGGGTGCCTGCCACCCACAAGGAAGTCACAGATTGAATCCCAGGCTCCTGGAATGTTACATTTAGAGTGGATGAGCAGATGGGAGATCTCTTTCATTTTTCTGCATTTCAATAGTAATAACAACAATAATACCAAAGCTAATTAAAAAGGTATGGAGAAAATCTGGGGGGGTGGAGGTGGGAGTTTGGGGGGGAATCCCAGTCTATACTAAGTTGTACCATATAATTCAAAAATTCAAACTAAAATATATAAACTAAAAAAAAAAGTAAGTTAACCACACTACTTGTACTTGATGTCTTTTCATTCAAATAGTAACTATGAACTGCCAGAGTCCAGCTCCAGCCGAGTTCAGAACCCAAGAAGGGTATGTGGAATAGGTGTCAAGAAAATAAACGGACCACTACAATTCCAGGATCATAACGGACCATGTGAGAAAGCTGTCCGCTTTATTCATACAGAAGCAGTCACAAGCTCTGGCACAGACTTTTTATATCACAGTCAAGTAGGTGTTTCTAAGGATAATTCTGCCAATTGTTTCACCTTAAAGCAGGATGTTATCCATCCTGACCCTGTGATCAGGAAGTTCTCAATAGACATATTGAGTGCATATCACATAGACATAGTGCATATCAATCAGTAACACAATCCTACTACAATCCTCATTCTACAACTTAATGTTTTTTTTTTTAAAGATTTATTTTTATTATTTTTTTTTATTGGAAAGGCGGATATATAGAGAGGAGAGACAGAGAGGAAGATCTTCCGTCCGATGATTCACTCCCCAAGTGAGCGCAACGGGTCGATACTATGCCGATCCGAAGCCAGGAGCCTCTTCCGGAGATCCCACGCGGGTGCAGGGTCCCAAAGCTTTGGGCCGTCCTCGGCTGCTTTCCCGGGCCACAGGCAGGGAGCTGGAAGGGAAGCGGGGCTGCCGGGATTAGAACCGGCGCCCATATGGGATCCCGGGCGTGCTAGGCGAGGACCTTAACCACTTGCGCCACCACGCTGGGCCCTACAACTTAAAGTTGAATCAGTTAAGGGAGGACACGCATCACAGAAGGAGGGAGCTAAAGATCAAGGATGGTCATTGGAGGCAGCAGAGACAGCGAAAGAATGAATTGTAAAAGGCCCTTATCAGCAACATCAACTTCCAAACTCATATTGATAGTAAAGACCAACTCCACAAGAGGCAGACAATGCCTAAATAGATTACAGAATTCTCAGTGGGGTTGTCCCATGTCCACGCAAAGGGAGGTAGAAACGCCTTCAGGTGGTTGTAGAGACATCTGCTGGGCTCTGCCTGCAATGGAACAATCCAGCAAGGAACCACACTTTGGCTGAGTTGTTTTCCTGACAGTAGGAGTTGCTACTTTGTATTTACCCTTCCAGCTTCACCCAGCATCACTCCCTGCCTCCAGGGAGGCTTGCTCTCCTATTGGGAAGGAAATTGTTGGGTGGGTAGAGAGGTTGGATGTTTCTCTCCCTACTGGGTGAACTCCACCTGTCTGCTGTAGGTCACACCACCTGCGGCTTGGCTCCTCCACACCTGCACCCCCTTTTGCTGGATCCAGTGCCACTCCCCTCCTCTTCTCCTCAGGCCGAGTATTCAAGGCTGCCCTCTGTTGGAATTTGGCTTTGGCTATGGAGTGCTGCACTCTATCTGTGAGTCCCTACCCCCTGGGCCCACTCTGTAACTGATCGCTTTACACCACTCTTCCTCAATGACTTTTGGGGTCCTAACTGATAAGGTGAGGTTCTTTTCTAAACACAGAAGGTTTTGGGCCCAGCAGCGTGGCCTAGCGCTAAATTCCTTGCCTTGAACGCCCCAGGATCCCATATGGGCACCGGTTCTAATCTCGGTCTAATCTTGGTGGCCCCGCTTCCCATCCAGCTCCCTGCTTGTGGCCTGGGAAAACAGTCGAGGACGGCTCAAAGCTTTGGGACCCTGCACCTGTATGGGAGGCCTGGAAGAAGTTCCTGGATCCTGGCTTGGGATCAGCATAGCACCGGCTGTTGAGCTCACTTGGGGAGTGAATCATTGGTCAGAAGATCTTCCTCTCTGTCTCTCCTCCTCTCTGTATATCCGACTTTCCAATAAATAAATAAATCTTTAAAAACAGGATGGTTGGGCACCCTGAATGCCAACAACTTGTGATGTTGGCATCCCTTATCAGAGCCACAGTTTGAGTCCCAGCTTCTGAGTCAGCTCCCTGCCTAGGGAGGCAGTAGATGGCTCAAAGTCCCTGCCATCCACATAGGAGATCAGGATGGAGTTCCTGGCTTCTAGTGTGGCAGCCCAGACAATGGAAAATGGCTACAGTAATGCCAGGTCTTTCGAAACATTTCTGGGACATGTCTATAACCTGACCCTTGCCATAACCTTGGGTTCTTGGAAAGTCCTGAAAGACCAGTGGGGGTGCTTATCACCAGATGGTATCTCATTCCAGGATGAGATCTTGCTTTTATAGCTCAGGTAGTAAACTGATTGACCCAAATTGTTTTCAGTAAATGCAAGTGGGAGGACCTGTTTACCTGGTTCTGTTATTCACTGGGAGGTGGGATGTGACTCTTACTGATTGTGTGTGAGGAGTTAGACTTGGGGAGTAGGCAGTTAGGGCATTTGCCACCTGAAATATCAGCGACTTTCTCCAGCCATTGTGTGGGAGGGCCTCAGGCTGGTTTCCTTATCATTGAGCATGTCTGACACCTGTCTGGCCTTTTGCCCCAAAGCCAAATACCAGTGGGGACCAGGAATTTCCTTTTGCCTTTGGAAAAGCCCTTTTGAAGTAAAACTTTAAAAGATGCTTTCCCCACCATTAATATGGGTCTTTTTACTTTTCCTCCTGCCACCATGGCAGAGGTCTAGGGTTTTTTTTTTCCACTTTTCCTCCTGCCATTATGGCAGGGGGTAAGGGTTCTTTCTCAAAGCCTCCTCCCATCACTAGGATGGGAGCCTCCTTTCTCAGCTTTTTTTTTTAAATGAAAGAATATTTAATGATTTTTTACTATGTAACATATAAGGTGAAGATACCAGACTGGATTTTTCTCAAATGGAAACTGGAGCACAGGCTAGCATTCTTTGATTCCAAGAACCTCAGCAGCACCTGTCCTTGGGAGGATCTAGCTTCTCACGACGTCTGTGATAATGTCCCTGAGGATACCAACGGTGCTTAGTAGTGAAGAACATCTTGCTAAGTTGCTCCACCATGGGTCCCTGCTCAGAGTGCTCACTTTTTCCTTGCAGTCTGGTTTTCAGCACTTGATCATGTGTTTCTTCATTATTAAGCACAGGATCTGGTCGAGGGATAGGTTTGGTATGTTCATACAGAATATCCATGGAAGGGTGATAACATATTATGGTCCTGCCATCCGATGTCAAAGCAAGTTCTACTTTGCAATTATAGTAATCCAGAAGAGGAGAATATGTAGATTTACGGCAAACACAATATAAAGCTCCATGGATTGGAGATAAATGTCTCCAGACAGCTGCGTTTGATATCACCCGTTTCATTGCTGCTGCTGCCATTCGTATCCAGAATGCTGCGTATCAAAGTGGGATAAAAGGGATGTTTGGAAGAAAACCATTTTCAGCATCTCCTTCCAGGCCTACCAATTTTTGTCCCACGAGCACACTATCTTGTCCTCATCCGGGTCCCCGGCTTTTCTAATAAATCTTGCTTTAAAACTAAACTGTGTCCGCATGAAAATTCTTCCTTCCTGAGAGGCAAGAATTGAGGTTGCTGCTGTATTCAGGGTCAAAAACCCTACAACAATTGGATAGCTTCACATGCATGATGCTTAAACTGGGAACCTGTTCCATGTCACTACAGTTGACTGAATCATTCATAAGCTTGGTTGATTGAATGATTCATATCATGTACCAGTTCTTTTAGTTGATTCGATGACCATGCTTAAGAACCCCTGAACATGGCTGACTGAGGCTGCTCCCCTCTTCCACGTGTGGTGCAATGAGCTAGTCCACTGGCTGACACCAGCTGGTGAACAGACTCCCAAGCTGAGCCCAGCATGGTAGCATAGTGGCTAAAGTCCTCTCCTTGTATGTCCCAGGAACCCATATGGGTGCCGGTTCATGTCCCAGCTGCTCTACTTCCCTTCCTGCTCCCTGCCTGTGGCCTGGAAAAGCAGTAGAGGATGGCCCACAGTCATGGGACTGTGCACCCACATGGGAGATCCAGAAGTTCCTGATTCCTGGCTTCAGATCAGTGTAGCTCCAGCTGTTGCAGCCACTTGGGAAGTAAGCCAGTGGACAGATCTTTCTCTTTGTATCTCCTTCTGTGTATCTACCTTTCCAATAAAAATAATTATTTTTTAAAAAGAACAAAAGACTCCTGAGCTTCTAAGTGTCTGCCTTCCATTCCTTTCCAGGATAGATATGGTCAGCTCGTAACACTTTTACTTAGGCTCCTTCTTATGATCATAGAATTTACATCCCATGAAATACAGTTTTTCCTTCTAATTTTTTGTTTCATTCCTTTTCTCCTGGTATCATGAGGGATCTTTCTTCCAGTTAGAGTGTGACAACAGGGCGTTAAGCACTGGTCTCCTGCCTGCAACACAGACACCCCTATAGGTGGCAGTTTGATTCTCAGCTGCTCCACTTCCAATCCAGCTCTCTGCTTACAGTCTGGAAAAGCAGCATAGGATGACCCAAGACCTTGGGCTATGTATGCACATGGGAGATCCAGAAGAAGCTCTGGCTCTCAATTTTGGATCAAAACAACTCCAGCCATTGCAGTGATTTCAGGACTGAACTACTGTGATAAAAGTTTTGTGTTGAATTTGCCCAAGTTTGATTTATACTGTATTTTTAGTAGATGGGTTATTAAACATAGGTTTACCACAGGGCCTCAAAGTTCCTCTTCTAGTTATACACAGTACTTAGAAGAATTGAAAACAAGCCCACAACAAAACTTGCATACAAATACAAATAGCAGCCCTATTCACAGTAAATGAGGATGGTAACAAATCAAATGTCCATCATTTGATGAACACAAAATAGTAAATAAACAAAATGTGACATATTCATCCAGCCTAATATTACTGGGCCATAAAAAGTCATGAAATATTGACAAAACTGTAAGAAGCCTGGATCGATTGAAAGAAGCTAAACATAAAAAGTCACAAACTGCACAATTTCATGTGAAATTGCCACAATATGACATTCTCTAGAGAGAAAAAAAAATCAATGATTACTGGGATTGGTGAGAATTGGAAATGGGAAGTGACTCATCAATTGGTACCATGTTTCCTTTTGGAGTAATGAGAATGTTCTAGAACTAGACCATACTGGTGATAGCACAGTATTATGAATGTTCAAATGCCACCAACAACTGTACTTCTCACTATAAATTGATGGAAATTGTGAACTTTACAGGATGTGAATTTTAAGCACAAACACACAAACGCACATACACCTGTGTAAGTGGAGCTGCAATCGTACAAGAAACCTGGTTTTGCCTTACTTGTGACTTTCTGAAGATTTGACCTGTAACATGCTCAGGGCACAGTGCCCTCAACCACCCCAGCCTTGGCTTTCCCCACCAACTGCTGGGCCTCCACCCTTCCATCCCCTGGTACTTAGAGGGGAAGGTCCCGTTTGTCACTGGAGTGAGTGGTGGGCCCCATTTGGCCTAAGCCAAACACCTGGGGCATCATTCTGTACTACAGAAAGCGCTAGGTGTCTCCCTTGAGACAGAACTAAATAAATAGCTGCTGGTCAGAGTTAGGATTTACATCTAAACACTTCAGGAAGGGTAGGAGGCTGATCTTTACAGGGGATGTCATAACAGAATGATGATGTCCCCGTTCTCAGTCCCAGAACCTCTGAGTATGTAATCTTACATGAAGGGACTTTGCACATGTGATGAAGGCATGGCTTGTAAGATGGGATAATTATTCGGATGACCCAAGTGCACCTGCTATAATTACAAGGGTCCTTATTCAGAATCAGGACAGATTCCCTTGCTGATGGTGAGGGAGGCGGAGAAAGGAAGACAGACTTTTTAAAAAAATATATATTTATTTTTATTGGAAAGGCAGACGTACAGAGAGGAGAGACAAAGAGGAAGATCTCCCATCCGATGATTCACTCCCTAAGTGAGCACAACGGCTGGTGCTGCGCCAATCTGAAGCCAGGAGCCAGGAACTTCTTTCCAGGTCTCCCATGAAAAACCAAACCCTCCCCTAGGGAACCCAGAAAGAGCTCTGCCACTAATCCTGAGCTCCAGTCAATAGTAAGTTTGTGTTATTTGTTTCTTAGATTCATTTATTTTCATTGAGGGGAGATTTATAGAGAGGAGAGACAGAGAAAGCAAGATCTTCCACCCTCTTGTTCATTCCCCAAATGCCTGCCAAACTTATCCAAAGCCAAGAACCAGCAGCTTCTTCTGGTTCTCCCACGGGGGTGCAGGGTCCCAAGGCTTTGGGCCGTCCTCTACTGTTTTCCCAAGCCAAAAGCAGGGAGCTGGATGGGAAGTGGAGCAACTGGGCCACAAACTGGCACCCATTTGGGAACCAGCATGTATACAGCAACTGTGTAGTCTGGCTATCTTTATTCTTAGCAATCTTAGAAAGTAGGGATAATTATTCCCGCTGTTCTGATGAGAAGCCCTGGCCTTAGAAAGTTCAGGGCATGTGGATGAGAAGGGTGAGTTAGCGCATCCCTAAAGTGGAGGATGCACTCACCTGTCTGCTGGTTACCTTTGATGTGAGGATGTGCCCTTTACCTGGATGGTTACTCATGGCTGCAGCTGGGACTGAGCACATCCACAGGGCAGGGGCCTCCTGGAAGGCCCAGTGGCTTTGACAGATTTGGGCAGCCAACTGTTAACAACTGCAGGGTGCCCTCCCAGCAGCAGCCTGCCAGGGCTTCTGAGTGGGGCCAAGGGCCTGACTCCTTGTTCTGCCAATCTGTCCCACTTGGGACTTTCTTCCATCTTCCTGAGAGGTTGCTTGCTTGACCCCTGAATTCCTTCTCAAACACTTGACTATTTCTTATGTGTATACTGTGCCTTACTAAACATTCAATCTGAAATGTTTTCACCTTTATGTTGTGTTAGCTAAGCTTTTCATGTTTATGTTGCTTTGAATGATGTCAAGTAGCACCACCTGTTTGCCTTGCTACTCTTCATTCTACAATTTTATCTTTTGAATTTTATTTCTTCTGCATTTAAGTTTTTCCTTCTTTAGTAGTCTGGTTTGCAGTTTAAGAAATATTTTATATACTTCTAAAACTTTGCATGTCTTTTTGACTCTTTTATAATTCCTTTTTCACCTTACTGCATTTTTTTTTCTGTCTCCAGACTGCACTTTTAAAAAAATTTATTTGTTATGATGTTTAAACAGTTGAGAAGGATGCATGCCCATGTGGACTACTGATTAGGGTGAAAAGGGTCGAGGATTAGGGTGAAGTGGGCTAGACCATGGCTCTCAAATCTTTTTTCTTATTCCTGTATCTGGGGGGAGAAGGGAAAAGAGAGGAGAAGCTGCACCCAACCTCCCAGCTGCATCAGTACCCAGAGATGGGGGAAGAAAACCCGATGTCATCCCAGGATTCCTGATGAGGAGCAGGTTCTGAGGGTTCTGCTCAAGTGGTTTCAGCAGTTCTGAAAAGCTCCCAACCTCACTGCTCCAAGGATCAGGAAATCCTTCCAAGGTCCATTGACTGACATAGTCCACCTTAGAGTCTCCATTCACCCAGATATTTGCTGCCAATGCTTGGATGGGATAGTTGATCAATTTGTTTTGCTCTCCATCCTCTGCTATGGTATTAGATGTCCTCAGAAGCCTCCAGTGGATTGCCATATCCTCCATGTGCATTTGGGTATGCCTGCCACTGCTCTGTCTTTTTCATTAAGGAGGCCCATTTCTAACACATGCACTGCACAGACCACAGATCCTGCAATTCTCCCCGTGGCTGGAGCCCAGCAGTTCAGTTGGTTGGGGGGGGGGGGGGGAATCCCCAAAGAAACCTTATCTGAGGTGATGCTGTATCTGATTCTTGTACGTGCTTGCCTATATAGGGTACAGCTCAGTCCATCACCCATGTCAATCTATGCACACACAGGGTGGTTGCAGTTGCTGGGTCAGTCCTGTCTCCAGCCCTGTCTCTTACATAAACCAATGGATGCTGTGGCCCAGCCCAACCCCACCCACCACACACTCAGCCCTCATGTACATCAGCAGAAACTACAGCCCAGTCAGAGTGATCCCTAATAATCTGTACCAGGCCTTCCCCTGGCCCTGATTCCTGCACATGCCTGTAAGTGCAACAGACTTGTCTGATTTGTCCTGCATTCCATTCAGCTTTTGTATATACCAATGGGTACTGCGGTCTAGCTCAGCCCAATCAAACCCACTATCCGACGCACACTTACGCTGATGGTACTACTACCTGTGCAGCCCAGTACTCACAGCTGTAGTTCTTATACTTACTGGTGGGCGCTATAGCCCATCAGAAAGGTGCCCACAGTTTCCTTGCTGGGCCCAATCCCAGTCCTGGATCTTGTCCTCTGCAGGTGGTTCTGCAGTCTAGCTCAAGTCTAGGACTTGCCCCCAGACCCAGCACTTGCCAGCTGATGCCGCAGCAAAGCCTGGACATCCTGC